AAATCCTTACTATTAGTTTGATTCAACCACAATCTGTAAACAAACAGTTATCAGCTAAGCAGACATTTAGTAAAAAGACCACAGGCTTCTCTCAGAAAACCTCACGAGGTAACCTCAGACAAGTCACTGAATCTCTCTCAACAGCTCTTGTAAATTCTGAAGTCCTCTGCTCTTCAAGGCCACAACCCTAGATGTAACAGCCATTTTAGTTTTATATATTAGCTTTCTTCTTTACAAATTAATTGGAGTGCTGTTTGAATTGAGCCCATTCCCCCAAGGGCCTAAGCACTTGTTGAGAAACTAAAACAAAATCAATGATGAGGCTGAAAAGCCTAATAATCATTTGGGGCTATGACACAGGTAAGTTCTGTGTCAGAAAGACCTATGTGCATGCCATGGCAAATGTTATTTACCAAACACTTGCTCTTCCCATCTTCCTGTAAGTTATCTTCTTCCCTGTTGGATCCCCACACCCCTGCCCCCTTCTCCTTAGCTCAGGATGATAGAAACCTCAATTACGTGACTGTTGAGGAATCTCCTTTTTATGGGGCCCTCGTATGTATGATATTTGCTGTTCCTCTGTTATTCTGTCTTATGTAAGTTCAAATATTTGACCAGCCAAAAAACTAAGAGAAGGGAAAAATCTGCTCTGTGAAGCCCATAACACAAGCAACCAACCCACTTCGGTCTATAGTGAGGAGCTACAGAAATCTTGGAAGAGAGGATTATGGCTCCCGGGGCTGGAAAAGCCAGGTAGCCATTCCATTGAATGATGTGAGTGCTGCCAAGTTCGCAAAGAATAGGTGGAAAGGCAGAGAACAGAGGGTCCCATGGGTGCTGCCTGTCCTGGAGAGCTAAAGTAACCCTGTGCTTGTCTTCAGAGTGGCCACATGCTCCCAACCACAGTGGGAGCTAAAAGAACCCTATTGTGATTCAAAATTCTCCTTTCCTCTCTTCTCTTGGAGAATTGAAGATGCTTTGGGTTTTAGAAGCAAAATATAAGAGAAAGATTCATTTAAAATTTATTGATGATCATCATCTATCCCTCACATGGGTTAAACTAAGATTTAGAGATAAAAATTCAACTCTCAAACACTGTGTAATACTGCACACCACTTCTTGGAGTGTGAACACTCCAAGTGTTAACACTTTCCAAGATCTCAAACCAGAAAAGAGAGAAGCCAAGATTCAACCATGTCTCTTTGACTTCAAGACCCTCACAACAACCCTGTGGGGAAGGTATCATCCCCATTTTACAGATGAGGTCAGTGAGGCACAGAAAGGTTGTGACTTATCACACAACTAGTAAGTGTTGGAACCACAATACTAAGCCAGTCACTCTACCTCTCGTCTGCTGTTTAAACCCTGTTGTACGGAGATCCCTGGGTGGCGCAGCGGTTTGGCGCCTGCCTTTGGCCCAGGGCGCGATCCTGGAGAGCCGGGATCGAATCCCACATCGGGCTCCTGGTGCATGGAGTCTGCTTCTCCCTCTGCCTGTGTCTCTGCCTCTCTCTCTGTGTGACTATCATAAATAAAAAATAAATAAATAAATAAACCCTGTCATGCAAGGGCCCAAAATATTCCGGTGCCTAAGGGAAAGTTGATTGAAAAGCTTGGCTATGATTGAAAAAAAAAAAAAAGTAACAAAAGAAAGGACTTTATGTCTAAGAAATGGAGCAAAGATTTATAGATATCTGTTTGGAGGTAGCAAAGTACCAAAATCATGCAGTGACCTTGTTATAAGTTGAGCAGCCCTGCTAAAACCTTACCCAAAAATCTGGTATATACTTGTCCAAAATATCATGTTCATATTAAAACACATGCACAGGGGCATCTGGGGAGCTCAGTCGGTTAAGTATCTAACTTTGGCTCGGGTCATGATCCCGGGGTCCTGGGATCAAGCCCAGTGTAGGGCTCCAAATTCAGCTGGGAGTCTGCTTCTCCTTTCCCTCTACTCCTCCCCCCACTTGTTCACACACTCTTTGTCTTACAAATAAATAAAATCTTTTAAAAGAACACATGTACAAACTGGAGGAAGTTACGAAAAATAGCTCACAACGGGAAGGTAAAGGCAGAAGCAAAAAACCAAGTTCTATAATTCACATAGAAGAATCTAAAAATAGCCATTTATCTGTGGTAAACTTTAAAAAAATCTTTTAAAATTTCTAAATGCAACCTTGAATTAACATCTATTTTTTTTAGTTATGTTCTGTTTCATTTTTTGTTTGTTTTTAAATTTAAAACACATGAATTATTTTGTCAGGTTTCAATTTTTCCCATGGAAAACCAAATGCCAATCAATTATACATCATTCTGAACTCAAATTTCATATATTTAGAGAGTAAATATTTAATTCTATGAAATGGGGTATATAGAGTAAGTTTTTTATAATAGTTTATAAAGTCCTATGTGGTCCATGAATGGTTTGAACTGTGACATCATCCCTGCAAGCTACTTCCAGTCACAAGACAAAGACTTTTAAATCTTTCAAAAGATTCATCTGTCATAAGAACAGATAACTTTCTAGATCTTTCACTTTATAAAACATGGAGATGGCCTACTTCAAACATAACTGTACTGGGTGTCTTCCAGTTGGCCTCCAGACTTAGCTCTACCTTCTCCCCCTGACCCTTAACCATGTAGGGCTCCCCTATGTGGATCTCATCAACATGTTACCTGGACCCCCACCTCTGGTTGGGTTCAGCCAGTGAAACCACCTGTAGGAGTTGGGAGGAAAGGAGAGATGGGTTTTGTGAGTATTTATTCCCATTCCAGGGGTCCCACAGACTTCCCCTCTCTCAACACCTCAGCACCTGGTAGGGATCCCTCCCCGTGCAGCTCTCTTAACTGCTTCCCTCGCCCCTTTAGGCTTGTAGGGGATAAGCTGTCCCACTTACCAGGACTGCGGTGAGTTACAATTTCTTGAGGTTTCTGTTCCCTGCACTCAGTTTGCAAATAGCTTCTTTAGGAAAATCTCTTCCTATAGCCCAATGTGAGGGGGCTCTCTGTTGCCTGTTTTGACCTTAACTGAACAGTGACATTAACCAAAACTGGTGACTACACAGCACAAAGTGCATGATCACAATATTCGAAAAAGATGATGCAAGCAGGCAGATTCCCAGTTCTTCAGTTGACAGGAGGGACCATCCTCACTCAGGCAACTGCCGGCCCTCCTTCTTCAGAAATTCTTCCCCGAGCTCCATGGCATTTAATACTCACTGTCCCCTGAATCTTCACTCTGGTGGTTGTCCTACTCTTTGCTAGCATGGCCCGAAGCAACCCATTCCATGTCCTTCACCTCTGGCCAACTTCTGCATGAAGGGAATAATACACATGCCTCTGACACACATCCTGGGATCGAGTGTCCTGCGGCTTCTGTCACCTCTCTGCACGAAGACAGATCTTTACACTCAACCTGTTTAGAGCATCTCTCTCATAATGACACAGATCACTTTCAACACATTTTGTCACCTGTTTTATTTTTCCCCAATTTGTATTATAAAATATTCAAATGAAGAAAAAAGATAAAAGATGTGTTGGTCAATTATCTTTATAACCATCACCTAAATTCAGTAACTGAGCACAATTCACCACTTTTGTGGATATGTCTAGGTGCATGCACAGTTTTTGCTGAGCCTTTTAAAGGTAGATTGCAGGGATCCCTGGGTGGCTCAGTAGTTTAGTGCCTGCCTTTGGCCCAGGATGTGATACTGGAGTCCCAGGATCGAGTCTTGCATCAGGCTCCCTGCATGGAGCCTGTTTCTCCCTCTGCCTGTCTCTCTCTCTCTCTCTCTCTCTCTCTCTCTCATAAATAAATGAAATCTTTAAAATAAAAAAATAAAAATAGATTGCAGACATCATGAGGCCTCTACCCTCAAATATTTCAGTATCTAACTCCTATGAATAAGAGAATTCTCCACATAATCTGAACATTATCAAACCTAAAAAAAAATTAATTCATAAAATGACCTAATAGTCTGAAATCTTCCCCACTTGTCTCCAAAATGGCCTGTATAGCTTTATCTATAGAACTAGGATCCAATCAACACACCTTGTTCAGTGCTATATTACTTGAGTCTCTCTTAATCTTGAACAGTCCTCCACCTGTTGGGAGAAACCAAACCAATTGTGTTATATAATGTCCTACATTCTGATTTGATGTTTTTCCCTTGTCATGGTGTTAAACTGGGTTCTTTATCCCTGTACTGTGTGCAAACAGCAGCATGAGACATGATTAGATTCTTAACACATTTGTCAAAGGTGATGTTCTGATGTTCTGTATTTATAATACACAAGGGAAGGCACATAGGTGGTTGATTACTTCTAGTGGTGCTAAGTAAGAACACTTAGCTAACACGTGGCGGGGGTGGGGGGGGAGCATTGGTCCACTGTAAAGATATTTTTTCCCTTTGCAAATAAGGGTGCTTGAGGATACTTTGACACTGTTTAAATCTTCTGTTCCCCAACTTTTTCCCCAAAAGATTTTAGCATTGATTATCTCTGACCATCTGGTCAAAAATAGGTTTGACAATAGGACAAAATTTGTGTGCAGGAAATAGATTCAATATGGCATATGCTAAGGTTTATGCTCATTTCTGTTTATTCTAGAGCTGGGGATCTGACTCAGCAGCACGTAATATGACTGGGAGATTCCACCACTTCCAGACACACACACACACACACACACACACACACACACACACACACACAAATGTATGTTGAAAAAATAAAAGCTAACACTAGAGAAAACATCCTAGTATATTTTGCTAAACTTTTCTATAGCCGCCTTAAAGAGGCAGTGTAGCAGTTTGACATCTGGGCTGTCTGGAGGCAGTCCAAAAATTCCACATCTATGAACCTGTCTAACCCACCATTTCATTGCCTGCTGTATCTCCAAATTTAACTACTTCCCGCCCGTTGATCCATGGATCCTGAAAGTGTTCTTTCGATACTACATTCGCAGCAGCTGATAACGAACACCAAACAGCATTAGGCGACAATCGTGCTGATGAACTTCCAACGTTTATACCAAGCCACCTCCACAGAGCAGCACCCAGTAGCAGGTGAAAGAGATCCTTAGTAGAAAGAGCATGTGGCCCTGAAAAGGACCTTTGTGTTTAGGGAGGACAACAGGCCCATTGCGTTCAGCCCCCGAAGCCGTAGAGGGTGCGGCCCTGGCGCTTGAGCGCGTAGACCACGTCCATGGCCGTGACCGTCTTGCGCTTGGCGTGCTCCGTGTAGGTGACGGCGTCCCGGATCACGTTCTCCAGGAACACCTTGAGCACCCCGCGGGTCTCCTCGTAGATGAGGCCCGAGATGCGCTTGACGCCGCCGCGCCGGGCCAGCCGCCGGATGGCGGGCTTGGTGATGCCCTGGATGTTGTCGCGCAGCACCTTGCGGTGGCGCTTGGCGCCGCCCTTGCCGCGACCAGACGCAGTAGCAGTCACTGGATGTTACAGACCAAAGAGCTTAAAAGCAGCCCCCAGCTTTTGTAACAATTGTGCAGCCCCCCTTTTATAACAATTGTTCAGAACTTGGTGAAAACTAAAACACCAGACAACGCGAGAAATGGCTCTGAGCCAAAGGCAGGCGTTAAACCACTGAGCCACCCAGGGATCCCTGCAATCTACTTTGAAAAGGCTCAGCAAAAACTGTGCATGCACTTAGACATATCCACAAAAGTGCTGAATTGTGCTCAGTTACTGAATTTAGGTGAGGGCTTACAGATAAATGACCAACCCATCTTTTGTCTTTTTTCTTCGTTTGAATATTTTATAATACAAATTGGGGAAAAATGAAACAGGTGACAAAATGTGTTGAAAAGTGATCTGTGTCATTATGAGAGAGATGCTCTAAACAGGTGAGTGTAAAGATCTGTCTGCGTGTAGGGAGGGGACTGAAGCCGCAGGACACTCGATCCCAGGATGTGTGTCAGAGGCATGTGTATTATTGTATTATTCCCTTCATGCAGAAGTTGGCCAGAGGTGAAGGACATGGAATGGGTTAAGCAGTCAGCCTTCAACTCAGGTACTAATCCTAGGATCCTAGGATCAAGTCCCACATCAATCACCCTGCTTCTGCTCCTCCCCCCAGTTCCTGCGATCACTTTCTGTCTCTCAAATAAGTAAATAAAATCTTAAAAAAATAATATATCTCAAATGACAGCCTTATCCTTTGGTCTCATATTTTTATGGGGCTCCCATACATACATAATTAAATTTTTCTCCTGTTAATCTGTTTTTATATCAACTTACAGCCAAAAACCTACAAGGGTAGAGGAAAATTTTTTCCTCAGCAGTTTTTTTGTTTGTTTGTTTTACTAATCATTATGTTCTTGAGATCCATTCCAGTTGTTGCATCACTAGCCTCCCTTTGTATTACTGAGTATGATTCCATTCATGGATGCAGGAAAACATTTAACCATTCACCCATTGAAAGATATTAAGTTGCAAAAAAGAAAAAAGATATTAAGTTGTTTCTAATTTAGGGCTGTTACAAACTTTCATGTACATTTTTGTTTTGGGCCCCCTCCTACCCACCAGTTTTGTTTAATTTTGTGTTTCCTGCATCCCACCTCAAAATTACATTTTTCAAGATGCAAAAGTACTGCTGTGATGACTGGGAGCCAATAACCCTCTCAATAGTCAAAAAGAAATCATATGGCGTTGCTATTATTTACAAGTTGGCTTCAAGTTTCCAAAATATTGTACTGAGCAATATTTTCAGCTGTTTCCAAAATCCAACATCTAGGTTCTGTAACTGGGGATTTATTCCAAGAGCCTCCAATGTTTGTTGAATAAACTGCTAGTATCCCTATCCTGTGGTTCCTGCCACAGGACTTGTGTTTTCACTGACATGCAGAGCTGTTTACTTAGTTCCTGAAAAGCCTCCAATGTTTAGTAATCCCCACAGCTTGGGAGAAACCCTGTGATTAGGCTAGACATCCCCACGACTAATGTCTGTAAAATCTGACTGTTGTGCAAATCCTGCATGGCTCTGGGGTTCACCATAGGCTTCTGAATTTCTTGGAGGAAACGTTAGAATCTGTAGCCTCCTTGGTTCTTTGAGGATTAATAACATCATGCACCACCACCTGTGCAAGGGCCGAGTTCTGCCTTAATGACTAACTACATGTTTCTCACACAAGGAAGGTGCAGACATGAGCTGTAACAAGTTCTGAATTCCTGGGGTGGATATACTTAGCTGTTACTCCACCCCACCCTACCGGTTAGGTACAGTGGTGGTCTGCCTAGCTGTACCAGATAGGTCACTGCCCACACTGCTACTGGTATTGCTACAAATCGAACTGGAAACTCCACAGATCCCATGTTTGAGGTATTGGGTCTCTATTTCCAGTACGGAAAAGCTACCATTACAATAGGATGTATTGCTCAGTTAAAGAAAAATGGATTGCCAAACTGCTTTCAGGCACCAGCCAGCATAGGTTCTTGATCAGTGTTAGGTCCCACCATTGTAAACCCCTAGGAGGCCTCGCCGGTTGCCTAAGGATCCGTCCTTTCTCAGATTCAGAATGAAATGAGGAAATCCACGCCTGGATTCCTGGCAAGTTGCAGTCGTAGAAGTGCTAGCATGACCACATCTATCAACTGCTGCCCTTGTAGATCGCCCTAGCTAGCTGCAGGTCAGGGTTTGGGCAGCACGCCCTATATATTTCCCAAATAGGCAACTAATTATTTTCAGGAATTGATAAGATTTGCCGGTTCATTTAGTTGAGCTAAAGACCCAAAGCAGTTTTGTGAGCTTCCCTAACTACGCTCAGCCATATCTACAGTAGGAAAAGCTAAGCCCTTCCAAACACCCTCTGCTGGAGAGCCCACTCCAATTGGCCGGAGTACACTGCCCAGCAGAGGAAAGGAGCGCGAGGCTTGGAGTGCTCGCGTGGAGGCCAGGGTAGAGAAAAGGGCAGCCGACAGGTGCGTACTGGCACCGCTCCTGTTAAGTCCCAGCAGCAAATGCTGCTGTCCTAGCTGATCAGTACCCGGAGGGCGTGAGAGGACCGGGAGAGTGCAAACACCCCAGGTACAGCTCGTTCAAGCGAACCTGTAGGTGGCTCTGAAAAGAGCCTTTGGGTTCTAAATTTGCGTTCTTCGTGGCCACTTACGCTCTCTCCCCGCGGATACGGCGCGCCAGCTGGATGTCCTTGGGCATGATGGTGACGCGCTTGGCGTGGATGGCGCAGAGGTTGGTGTCCTCGAAGAGCCCCACCAGGTAGGCCTCGCACGCCTCCTGCAGCGCCATGACGGCCGAGCTCTGGAAGCGCAGGTCGGTCTTGAAGTCCTGCGCGATCTCGCGCACCAGGCGCTGGAACGGCAGCTTGCGGATCAGCAGCTCCGTGGACTTCTGGTAGCGCCGGATCTCGCGCAGGGCCACCGTGCCGGGCCGGTAGCGGTGCGGCTTCTTGACGCCGCCGGTGGCCGGCGCGCTCTTGCGGGCCGCCTTGGTGGCCAGCTGCTTGCGCGGGGCCTTGCCGCCCGTCGACTTGCGCGCTGTCTGCTTTGTGCGAGCCATGACCACCAGTTACAAAGGGGGTTCACAATTGAACATGCCGGCTCTTATTTATAAAGGCAACATCCTCCTGATTGGTCCGAATCTTCAAATTCCGCGCCGTGAATTAACTTGATGGGCTTTGTGATTGGCTCCCAGGTTTCACTTCAGAAAGTCTCATGTTGAAATGTATTTTGTATCCTCTGAGTTCTCTGTCCTTTGTTTAGCCTGTATTTCATGTTTTGCAGCACCTTAATTGGTCTTGTTTTAATCCCTTTGTTTGGGATTAAATTTGGTAAGAGACTAGAATGAAAATTTACAGTTCCTGAGCGGTTTCAGAAGCTCTGCGCCTGGAGGTGTTTGATCCAGTCCAGTCTCGTCCTTTATCATTTCTCAAAGTTTGACTTTGAAGCAGCGTTTTATTTTAGCAGTGGAAACACTCTATCCCAAAACTCCGAACACACTAACACTGGCACGCCTTCCAGACACTCCTCTCCTAGGAAACAGAGATCACACCGCTGTTGAAATGTAACGATCCTCTAATTCTGAAAGCTTAAATTTTGCCGACTTTGATCAAACCAAACTAGAAATGCCATGGCATAATTTTTTAAATGTTTATATAGCTAACTCTTGTATTCTTTTTGCTGTATTTAGTATCTGGGGAACTGCAATTTGGCAGGAAAATGGGGTCATAAATTTATAACAGGCTTCTGTCTCTTTAGGTCAGGACCTAGGGAGACACAAGGTCCATAAATATGTATTATTGACGAAACACGAAGCTTTTGTTTTGAAAACGAAAACTTTTTTCTGATGGAGAAAAGACTGGAGTTGCTTGCACATAAACAGCCAATCAAAAAGTAGATTGGAATTCACCTTATTTGCATAAAAGGTTTCTATTGGTTGATTTGCTCCAATCAGGCATTAAGACCCATTAAGCCGTTATTTGCATACAAGCCATATAAAAGTAGGCCAATGCCGCCTTTTGCTTTCACTTTCTCCGGTTTCAGTGTAGGTCTTGCATGATGCCCGAGCCCGCCAAGTCCGCGCCGGCCCCGAAGAAGGGCTCCAAGAAGGCGGTGACCAAGGCGCAGAAGAAGGACGGCAAGAAGCGCAAGCGCAGCCGCAAGGAGAGCTACTCGGTGTACGTGTACAAGGTGCTGAAGCAGGTGCACCCCGACACGGGCATCTCGTCCAAGGCCATGGGCATCATGAACTCGTTCGTCAACGACATCTTCGAGCGCATCGCGGGCGAGGCGTCGCGCCTGGCGCATTACAACAAGCGCTCGACCATCACGTCCAGGGAGATCCAGACGGCCGTGCGCCTGCTGCTGCCCGGGGAGCTGGCCAAGCACGCCGTGTCCGAGGGCACCAAGGCCGTCACCAAGTACACCAGCTCCAAGTAAACGTGCCAAGTAAGCGTCTCCTTCCCAACCCCAAAGGCTCTTTTCAGAGCCACTCACTCCTTCACGTAAAGAGCTTTAATACTGAAGTGTAAGTAATAAGGAAAATCTGCCGAAGTAAAAATGTTTATCTCCCTCAATTTCATATTCCCGTTGTTTTCTCTGTAGCCTTTTTTTTTTTCCTTTTTTTTTTAAGTTTATTCATGAGAGACAAGCCGAGACCTAGTCTGAAAGAAATAGGCTACCTGAGGGGATCCTAGTGTGGGACTGAGTCCCAGGACCCCGGGATCATTACCCGAACCAAAGCCAAGTGCTCAACCACTTGAGCCACCCAGGTACCCCTCAGTAGTTTATTTTGCTGGAACAGAGATGGTCTCCGCAAGTGCAGAGCAGAAAAACTTCCTTTGCAAACTAAGACAGTTTGAGCTACTGCTCTGGGTTTAGGGTTTCAGAAGATGGAATTAACTCCGGGCAAAGCTTTTGCCAGGGCTTACAGCTGAAAAATTTTTTTGAGTTGTGTGGACGAGTTAAATATATAGGCATCCTTTATAGACGAACCTGTCCAGAGTATATACTGTTTGGTGAGTCTGAGGCTTTGTTTAGCAGAAAATTGGATACTGTATACTTGGTAGGTTGAGAAACTAATTTCATAGTAAATGGAAGAGGTTGAGGAAGACTTCCTGAAAAGAAAGACTATTGAATTACTCAACTGTGGCTATTCTGCAAGTAATAGAAGCATTCAGGCCTCTAGGATTTGTAAGAGGAAGAAGGGAAAGCAGCAAGAGCAAACAGCCTGGGAACAATGCCTCATTGGAGAAATGTCAGGCAGCCAGCAAAGAAGCCAGGTTTGGGTAATCTTCCCTTAGGAGGCTTGATAGGAATCATTAACAGAATACAATTTCAGCTATAGATGTACAAAATACCTTGAGATTAATCTCAACCACAGCACTTCAGTTACTGTCCTCACTTTTGACAAGTCCACCCTTACAGGCATTTCTCTGTTGGATCATGGAGTGTGGGGCAGGCAGGGTGGTAGTTGGTAGTTGGTATTCCAGGATCATAGATCTGAATGTGCCTCAAATTCTTGCCTAAAGGACGTGTTGAGTGAAAGGACTAGAACTTCTGAGTTTATTTGTTCAGGTAGTGAGTGAGAGCCTGTTAAATTTCAGAAAGTGAGATACTTGGGAAAGAGTGAGCAGGATAAAAACAATCCTTGACCTCACAGGGTTCCTACTCTAGAATGGACATTTAAATAGTAATCTTACAGCCTTAACAGAAGGGGTAAGCCTCTGAGGGTCACTTTAGCATTGCCAAAGCTGAATGGATTTATCTTGAAAAGCAATTCTGGAAGGAAGGTGGAGCAAGAGACAATGATAAGGAAAAAGACAATAAGGAAAGGAAAATCCATGTGCAGACAAAGATGCAGAGTTTGTATTTATGGACTATAGTTAACAAGGGCGAGGTATTTATATATTCATCTGGTTCACAGGGATTTTGTAGAAGTCCTAGTGCTGTACCTTACTAAAATGTAAGATCTTACTGAAATGTAGAAAGGAATGCTAGGATAGTAAATCTTGTCCATTGATCCTCTTAAGGACTATTTTTTATGTACACCTAAGAGTTAGTATTAGATACACTTGGAAGTGACCAACAACCTAAAATAGTCACTGGTTAAACTCGATAAAAGTCTAGTTCTCATGCTCAGGCCTGGAATGGGGACCTGCTCTCCTTAGAGAACTCCTCTCCCTCTGTGTGCAACGTGTGTTTTCTCTATTATTTGAGAATATTCTCAAATATATTCTGCTATGAAAATCTACAGAGGATTAAGACGAGACCAACTAATCAGATGAATAAAACATAAGAAATGTTAGGTAGGTAATTCCTAAGTAAGAAACTTCTAAGAAGTGTTGAATAGATAAACAAGGAATTTTATGAGATACAGGCATAATTGAAAAGCTATATTTACCAAAAATCATAAATTAGTGCCTGGAAGACATGTTTCACATAGAGAAAGTAAGTAGAGCTTGTGGGCTTCACAGAGATAGCACAAGACGAAAGAACCAAGAAGCGCCAGATACTTGTGAGACACCAAATATTTGTGAGGTATTCAGTATTTATGTAGTCTTATATTGTCCACCCACTGGTGACTTCTGCTTTAGCCACATTTGCCGCCTGCAGACAACACCGACATAAAAGGCGTGGCTGCTTGGGATGTAACTGTCAGCCTATAGGGGAGGCCTTGTGCATCAGAAATGGCCTGCCTGGTGGTAATCTGGTATCTGAAGACATTAAGGTCATTTCCTACAAGTGAATCTAGCTGTCAGTCATATCATACCCCTTCCACCTTGTAGTCCAAGATGTCCACTCCAGCTACAGCTATCTTGTTCACTTTCCATCCTGAATGAAGGAGAAAAGGATAAGGAAACACCCCCACCATTTACTGAAGTCCTGAGGATGCCATAAATCTGCCTTTGTTGACATACCATCAGCCAAAAATAGTCGATGGCCACACTGGCTACAAAAGAAGCTCAGGGAGTTTAATTAGTGTGTAAGAAAGGAAAACCCATTTCAGGGGACAGCTGTGTGGTAGTCCCTGCCATAGCTACTATGTAGGTAATTCCTACCTAAGTGGGTAATTACAAATATTATCAATAAGACAAGAGGGAAACTGATGAGTTCTTACATCTACAGTAAGACACTGGAGTTTCCTGGTACAATACAAATGAATTGTAAATATTGGCAATACTTGCTTTAGTTGAGAAAACAAAATGATACAAGTCTAGTTAGGAGCACATTTTCCTTTTCAGATGAACGATGCTCAACACAATTGGGAATCCTGATTGAGCTAGGTGGAATCAGTACAAGGCTTGGGAGACCAAGAAGACACGATGGAAAGTGGAGGAAGGCTTCTATATGGTCAGACTTACAGCCTGTGAATAAAGTCAGGCTGAGTTGGGAGTCCAGTGATAGCCAAAGTATTTTAAAGGACATTCCAGCCCAACAATCTAGTAGACAAGTCCCAGTCCTACCTGCCTCAGTTTTGGCTTTTAGGTTCTTTTTTATCTTGGTGGATTTTCTCAATTCATTCAACTCATTGTCTCAACTCATTCTTTATGCACTGAACCTCCTAAAGACCCAGTCTTGCCTTTTGTTCTAAAAAAACTCTGCTCTCATTTCAAAATGCCCAGACGTGTTCCTCAAAGCCTCCCGTGTCAGGAATACCTACATCACTCAACTGTATCTATCATTCTATCAAAGCACAAAGGTGAACCAGGCATGGTCTCTGTTATCCAGGACATGAAATATTGTCTCGTAGAGAAAATAATAATGTACGCAACTACAAAAGAGCAATAAAATATGCTTAAAATTGGAGGGATTTGAGGCCCAGAGCTTGGGCTGAAATTTGTTTCATCGTTTACTAGCTAGGTGACCAGAGGCATGGTGTGGAACTACTCAGTTTGTTTATGTACTTTCTTCTGAAAAATGATGACAGTGATTATTTGGAACCTCAGATCTCTTTGTATCTTAAATTATCACGTAGTTAATACTCTTTCCTTAGCTACTGGTGTCCTTGAAACAGGCTGGCAAACCTCCATGAGATAAACACTTAACCATTCCTGCCCTTGCCTCTTGGATCACCATCTAAATTGGGTGTGCTCAAGAACATGGAGTCATACTTTTAAAAAATATTATAAACATGTGCATCAATACTGAATTTACCTAGAAGCTCCAGCCTGAGAAAACAGAAGACAACCCTGGTTCTATCTAGTTGGTCATCAGACCTGTGGCCATGACCCCGAATTTTCTACCAGCTTAGGATCTGTTTAGTCACAACTGTAGCTTCTCTGTGGAATGATCTTCTCACAGGTGTGTGCACACCTGTCTCCTGTCTCCCTCTTGGCTTCCTGCCTCGGCTCAGTGGCGTCTTAGTGGTGAAATCTTCCCCACTCACCCTGTTTAAACCCACAACCCTCTAATACCCATGCCTCCACTATCTGGCAGTCCTTAATCTTTTGGCCTGTTCTCTCTCTCTCTCTCTCTCTCAAAGATTTTTTTTATTTATTTGAGAAACAGAGAGAGCACATGTAGGCAGAGCAGCAAGCGGAGAGAAAAGCAGGCACCACACTGGGCAGGAAACTGGACACAGGGTGGATCCCAAGACCCTGGGATCACTGCCCAGGCCAAAGGCAGACATTTAACCAACTGAGGCACCCAGATGCCCCAATCCCTTTAATCTTGTTACCTACCAAAATACTATATTTATTTCCTGTCACCCACAAAGAGGGTATCCGTGAGCTCCACACAGGGTACTTTACCCATGTTATTCACTGCTCTGTTTCTGGCACCTAGAACAATGCGGAGCACATAGCAAGCACTCTAGTTTTTGATGGATGGATGAAGTAAAATTAAACTATGCAGAGAACATGCAACAGTCATCCATTCTCTAGTACCAGAGATAAAGTCCACGACTGAATTATTCTACTGTGTGAATAGTTCACCTCAGTTTATTTGGGCTACTACTTTTATCAAGTCATGGGAATTGAGCAAATTAAGGTTTCAGACATGAAGTCAAACATGTCCACATAGCTAGTTTTGCAACAGTCATTGCCCAAACTTGCGAGAACTTACACCTGCACCTTACATCTGCACATAGGGAGAGGCTGAAAGGAGGGGCGGAGGACACAACTGAAAGCCCAGGGAAAGAGCAAATGTCACGTACCAAACCTCCACCTTTTAAGAGCTCACCTTAACACCAAGAACCAACTTCAAACAGGTTTAAAAAAAGACTCGAAATTGAGGGGACACAATTACAGCAATTTTAGAGAAAAAGTGGGTGGCTCTTAAAAGAGCCTTTGAGTTTAATTCAATCAGCGGGGGAAGCTTTACGCTCTCTCCCCGCGGATACGGCGCGCCAGCTGGATGTCCTTGGGCATGATGGTGACGCGCTTGGCGTGGATGGCGCAGAGGTTGGTGTCCTCGAAGAGCCCCACCAGGTAGGCCTCGCACGCCTCCTGCAGCGCCATGACGGCCGAGCTCTGGAAGCGCAGGTCGGTCTTGAAGTCCTGCGCGATCTCGCGCACCAGGCGCTGGAACGGCAGCTTGCGGATCAGCAGCTCCGTGGACTTCTGGTAGCGCCGGATCTCGCGCAGGGCCACCGTGCCGGGCCGGTAGCGGTGCGGCTTCTTGACGCCGCCCGTGGCCGGCGCGCTCTTACGGGCCGCCTTGGTGGCCAGCTGCTTGCGCGGGGCCTTGCCGCCCGTCGACTTGCGCGCCGTCTGCTTCGTGCGAGCCATCTTGAGAAAACTGAGAGAGAAGACTACACTACAAGTCTCGCAGACTACATTGCCCTTATATATACTCAGAACCGTTCCGATTGGTCTTGCATTTTTCAAAACTCCCGCGCGATGAAACCATTGGCTGAAGCGTGAGGACGTGATTGGTGGACACTGGAGGCTCCGATTGGATGAATTATTAAACATTCCAATCCGGGCTTTGTTGTAGTCAGCCAATCCAGAAATTAACCTTATGATGTTCTGCTTCAACTCCTCTCAGATTCCAAATAAGGGATAACAAGGGGGCCGGGAAAGATGCTAACTCTGGCTCAGGAGAATCACGTAATGGAGCCCAAGACGGAGGGTCACGTCTTAAGAACAAATTTGTTTTCTGATGGTTACTTTAACTGAGTTGAATAGCGGGGACAGCCCCTTTCTACAACCACTCTGGGAAATCACAGGTAAGACTCCTGGCCCGGGGACGAAGCGGTCACCACCGTGTGACAAATGTTGGGATTTCCTGTGGTGCCCAAATAGTATTATGCTTCATTCACTTCAGCATAGAAACAGCCTGCGCCGATTTCCGGTCCCACACTTTTTTTGCCTTACGGCACCCCAGGCTACCACCTCTCCGATGGAGGTTCATTGAATTATCCCTTACTTCTGGTTTCCTCACCGTAGGTGTATTACTCGCTAAACATGACTGAACATGGAGGCCCCTGTCCATCTACATAAAGCTAGGGTTTTGTAAACATTACCCATCACTAACTAGCTTCCCCTCACCTATTAGAACCTTGCTTACCATAACTCCGCGGTTTCTGTACAAGTTAAGCAGCCACGATTTATTGCAATGGATACACTGATTTTACTATCCAGAGCCTGTGCCCGTGTAAGGCTTACGTAATAGAAAAGCAACACTTTGTTACAAGCTTCCTAATTTGAAAATGTGGACGGCTCTGAAAAGAGCCTTTGGGTGGGAAAATAAGTTTTAGATGCACAAAGAGGTATTTAGGTAGGTTTACTTCCCCTTGGCCTTGTGGTGGCTCTCGGTCTTCTTGGGCAGCAGCACGGCCTGGATGTTGGGCAGGACGCCGCCCTGCGCGATGGTCACGCGGCCCAGCAGCTTGTTGAGCTCCTCGTCGTTGCGGATGGCCAGCTGCAGGTGGCGCGGGATGATGCGCGTCTTCTTGTTGTCGCGGGCCGCGTTGCCCGCCAGCTCCAGGATCTCGGCCGTCAGGTACTCCAGCACGGCCGCCAGGTACACCGGCGCGCCCGCCCCGACCCGCTCCGCGTAGTTGCCCTTGCGGAGCAGGCGGTGGACGCGGCCCACCGGGAACTGGAGCCCGGCGCGCGACGAGCGCGTCTTGGCCTTGGCGCGAGCCTTGCCGCCCTGCTTCCCGCGACCAGACATGTTAGCACAGCAACAACGCAGTAAAAAACAAGAGTTGAGAACTGCAAAACGCAAAAAGCTAAACTATTATACCCTGAGGCGGTTTCGTAAAGCTGCTTATGCCGTTGGCACAGAAGCAATTCCAGCCAATCAAAAGACACAGCCAGAGCAACAATGCCCCTAATTTGCATAGAACGTTTGTGAGTCGCAAGATCAAATTATTTAAGGTTGAACTACGGGGAAAAACCAATGAGAGTTTAGGATAAAGAAGAAGCCTATCGGAGGTTAGGATACTGTAGAAGCCAATCAGAAACGTAAGTCTGCAATCCCTAATTTGCATACGTACCAAATAAATAGGAGGGCGTTTGGTAGTTGGCGTACTTTTTTGGTTGCGTTTTAGCACTGTTTTCTGATTGTAGAGCCCGAGCCCGCCAAGTCTGCGCCGGCCCCGAAGAAGGGCTCCAAGAAGGCGGTGACCAAGGCGCAGAAGGACGGCAAGAAGCGCCAGCGCAGCCGCAAGGAGAGCTACTCGGTGTACGTGTACAAGGTGCTGAAGCAGGTGCACCCCGACACGGGCATCATGAACTCGTTCGTCAACGACATCTTCGAGCGCATCGCGGGCGAGGCGTCGCGCCTGGCGCATTACAACAAGCGCTCGACCATCACGTCCAGGGAGATCCAGACGGCCGTGCGCCTGCTGCTGCCCGGGGAGCTGGCCAAGCACGCCGTGTCCGAGGGCACCAAGGCCGTCACCAAGTACACCAGCTCCAAGTAAACTCCTGTGAAACTATGACAACGACTTCAGACCCTTTAAAGAGCACCCATGTGCTCATTTAAAGAGCTGTAACTTAAGCTTGAAAATGACCAGTACAGCCATTGTAATACTTTGTCAAGCAGTATTAATCTAGGAGCAAAACGTAATTCCAGCCTGTGAGAATCCCCAAAGGGTAAATCTATGCAACTGGACTATTGTGTTCTCTTAGCTGCTCTGGTAGCTCCTTACTGAGTAATGTGCCTGGAGGCCCACCACACTTGGGGAGGCTTCGTTTCCCCATTTTGTTTCGCTTTGTCATTTCCACTACCCTAGATCAGGGAGTAATAGGGGCAAAGTGGGGCAAAGTGTTGGGTGGCCCTAAATTAAAAGAGGAATATTCTTTTAGAAAATCAACTTGCTGTGTCATCCGAGTGGCTACAGTGGCATCTAATGGAGCCATGTACTATCTGCGACTTGGATTTCTAAATCCCAGCGGATTTCTTGCCAGTCTCAATCCCATGTCCTTCCAATTCCACCAGTTTCTTCATCAAAAATGTTAACGTAATCTAAATACTGCCTCTTGCAAAGGTCAGGAATTCCTCCATTAGTTTTCTACCTGGCTTAAATATACAAGAATGTAAGAGACACTACAACTGGAATACGTGAAGGAAGAGGAAGCAAGTGAAGGTCCATCTGTGATGGGGGCGGGGGTGGGCAGGGCATAAGGATCTGCCTCAGCCTCTTCACTTTCCAGTCCCAAGGAGATCTCCCTAAACCTCTCCATGTCCAGTGACTTATTCATGCCCTGGGATTTTATTTTAAGGGAGAAAAGTCACAAGGCATTAACATTCGTGTGCCTGTCCGCGTGATTTCAGCCTACAATCACCTATGAAATGGAATCTCCCATATTACAAGTGAATGAGGAATTAAGGTTAAATAACTCCTTACTGAAACGTGGGATCTGAATCTCTAAGGATTGTTTTCAAACAATAGAGGCCAGTTGCAATCATAGGAGTAGGGAAACTGGCTCAGAAGGAAAATTAAGCATTAGAATAAAACTAAATTAAAACTGGTCAGGAGATACACTTGTTCTTTGATGCACAACGCAGGCCTTAAACCACCCAAAGTATATAATGATCTATGGAAGCTAAGGATCTCCTTATGGCAAATTTAACTTTTCTGAGTGCTGTGCCATAGAGGGGAAGCCATGAGCATTAGCAGTATAAAACTAAGCTCAAAAACCTCATTTTCTACTTACTAGCCCAACCCCTCAGGATCCTGTAAGTCTGCTTTAACATGTAAAAATTCCCTTGGAAACTTTCTTTATCTCTACCCATCAAGGTATCTATTAGCAATCATCCTCCAAACATATGATCCACTGATATACATCTGAAGAGTCTCGTGACTGAGTTTTTACTAAGTAATAATAATGACCTTTTCCTAACAATAGCTAGGCCTCTTCGGATCCTGGAAACCTTGTTTCCGAAATACCTTGGAGGCTTGTGCTGTCCCTAAGCCCTTCCCAACTGGAAAGTATTTACTGGGCCACTCCTCATGACCCCCCAGCTCTTCCTGCCCATGGGTCCTGTCCCTATTCCTTAATAAAACCACCTTTTTGCACCAAAGATGTCTTAAGAATTCTTTCTTGGCCATTGGCTCCAAACCCCAACTATTTCCTATATAAGTGACTCAATTTTGTAATAGGACTTGTGAAGAAGATACTCTAAGCCCCACATGTAATTAAGGCATTCATTTCTTGCTCTCCAAAGCTAATTTTAAGCACATTTGAAAACAAATATACTACCATGGCTTAAGGAGGAATCCCTTAAAACAAGATATAGTTGTGAAAGACTGTTTCAATGCTAAATTTAGGCCAATTTCTTTTTTTTTAATTATTTATGATAGTCACACAGTGAGAGAGAGAGAGAGAGGCAGAGACATAGGCAGAGGGAGAAGCAGGCTCCATGCACCGGGAGCCCAACGTGGGACTTGATCCCGGGTCTCCAGGATCGTACCCCGGGCCAAAGGCAAGCGCCAAACCGCTGCGCCACCCAGGGATCCCATTTAGGCCAATTTCTTAAACTGTCTGCGAACATTTCCTTACCTCTAAAATGGGAATAACTACCACATGGCATTGCTGGATGATCAGTAAAAGAACACTATAAAGCGTTTAGGACAGTTCTTACGCAGAGGAAAGTCTTCCAAAAGGTTAATGACAGCTAAAGCCTCTGGTTGAAGTGGTAGGGAAGGTGAGTTGGTCCTGCCCATATTGGAATCTTGAGTCCTGAGGCTTTGAACAAGTCAGTAGACTCCAAAGCCTAGCAGCACGTTATTCTAGTTAAGAGTTCCTCAACTGCAAGATGAATGACAATCTAATCCCATTCTAACAGTCTACACCCCTCTTTAGGACCATCTCTTCACCCTGAACTTTTTTTTTTTAAGATTTAATTTATTTATTTATTTGTGAGAGACACACAGAGAGATGCCAAGACACAGCCAGTGAGAGAAGCAGGGAGCCTGATGTGGGACTCCATCCCAGGAGCCAGGGATCAGGACCTGAGCTGAAGGCAGATGCCCAACCATTGAAGCCACCCAGGTGTTCCTACCCTGAACTCTTCTGAAGACAACCTTGGGCCATTGACTGTGAGACTTCTCTGCCCCTGCCCGCCAATTCAAGCAACATGTGACTTATTTTCCAGAGACTTCATGTATCACTAGTATTAGGAGTACCTCATTTAACAGATGTATTGGGTTATGAGGAAAGGACCCTGGAAACTCACAAAAGCTGCTTTAAAAATTTTTTATTCCTATTTTGTTCCCATGCCTCCAGTTCTTTTTGCCTAACCTTACAGCAGTACCTGGCCAGAATGAAGAATCGTCTTCAGAAAAGCAGCTGCACTTTTAAAGCTAGAAGAGAAACATGAAATTGCTGTCCACAATCATTCCCAGACTAGGGAAAGTTAGGGCCACCCTAAAGATTGCTGTGGTGTTGCCAACAACTTAGAAGACTGCTATCAACCTCCCTTCCTAAAAGAACTCTCCTTTTATATGCTCAAAGGAAATTCAGATAACTTCAAAATAAGAAATCTTCATACTCAATAAATGACCCACAGTCAGTAAACATTATGAGCAAAACATAAACCTTTATCATAGTAAGTCAACAGGACTTACTATAATTATGCTGTGAGGACTATCAGCATAATTAGCCAAAATGAATCAAAACAGTATCATATTGCAGCTAGTGTCTGGGAGTGGTTTTATTCAGGGAACAATGAGTTGCCATGTCGACACATGTAGCTAAATCTAGTTTGTTTTAGTAGCAATGTTAGATTGTATGCCTAATTATGTTACAGTACATCTATTGGTTGACATTTGCTTTGTTGGCTACCTTAAAAAAAATTTATAGGATGCTTTGCTGGAATATAAAATATTAAGTAGAAATTTCATTGTGTGGATTACTTCATAATATTCTAGTAATAACATTAATGCATGTGTGTATTACTTATGATAATAGAATATAAGGTTTAAAACAGGTAGTTAGAAGTATATAATTTTAGGGGAAATAGTCAAGAAATCTGCTTTAACTTACTTGCCCCACTCTCTGATTAGCTGAGCTGATTCAGAGATTTTTTTTTTCAATTTTGAAACAAAAGGAACTTGAACACATCACTGGTGTCCAAATGCTCATCTATGGCTAGTATTAATTAGTCTGTGCCAATTTTCTCTATTATTTTTCCTACTCTGTGTAAAAATGAGAAAAATAAGGTCAGTGCAATAAATTTTCCTTAATATTAAAAGTTAATTAACACATCTTTTTAATCCTGTCAACTCCCCCACAAATTTACTGTCTTCAGTCTAAAAGGTATAAAAACTGCCTGCCTGTCATGTTTGTCTCCATTTCATTACTGGGCCTCTGCCCAAAGGTAATAAAACTTTAGGTATTTTTTCCCCTGCCCATACGTCTCCTGTAAATTTTAGTGCAGCTGGAAGACTTTGAAGGAAGAATATATCCTTCCCTACACCTAGTAACCTTGGGTAAAATATCCCGAGGCCTATTTGTACACGTTTTAAAAATGCTATCGTGTCTGCTTAGGTTTTGGTGACATTTTGTTCATTAAGCAACATCCTTAACCTTTTAAGGTTTTCAAACTATCAGGAAATTCCGGGGACGATGCTAAACACTGGCCAGCTCCCCCCGCGAGGGTGTTTCCCCCCAGTGCCTTCCGAACGTAGACGACCGGGAACAGGGAGCCCCGGGTGAGGGCGCGACACGGCGGGCTTAGTCGGAGCGAGGTCGTGGCCGGCCATCCCGCGGTAACTCCTTTGTTCCCCCGCCGCCCAGCAGGGGCCGGGCGCGCTCCCTTTGTCTCCCAGCCGCCCCGCCATGTTGGGCGCGGGGCCCGGCGGGGAAGGCCCACCCGCTGCCTACCGGCCGGGGATCCCCCTTCTAGTGGAGCCAGGCACGCACGACTCCTACCTCGGCCCTCGAAAACAGAGGGAAGCTCCCTGGGAGAGCAAGCGGCGCCACGTGACCTGCTCTCCCACCTTAAAACTGTCAGGAAACTAAGATTTGAACAGACCCGACTGCCAGCAAAGCAACTCCCAGAATCCGGAAATTACCAGTTAAAGGCTCACTCCGAAACCAAAACCGAACCACCCCCGCCCCGCGTCTGAAATCTAAAAGCTCAAACACGGGTTTACTAAAACAGCAAGAAAAGCTGCAGCTCTTTCGGGACACATGTGGGCGGCCCTGAAAAGGGCCTTTGTGTGTTTAGAAAAGGCGAAGGACGCGGAGCTCAGCCGCCGAAGCCGTAGAGGGTGCGGCCCTGGCGCTTGAGCGCGTAGACCACGTCCATGGCCGTGACCGTCTTGCGCTTGGCGTGCTCCGTGTAGGTGACGGCGTCCCGGATCACGTTCTCCAGGAACACCTTGAGCACCCCGCGGGTCTCCTCGTAGATGAGGCCCGAGATGCGCTTGACGCCGCCGCGCCGGGCCAGCCGCCGGATGGCGGGCTTGGTGATGCCCTGGATGTTGTCGCGCAGCACCTTGCGGTGGCGCTTGGCGCCGCCCTTGCCCAGCCCCTTCCCGCCCTTGCCGCGACCAGACATATCTGCAACGTTCCGAACGTTCTCAGAATCAGCGTCAAAACCGTTGGGGTGATATCCTTATATATGCGGATCGCGGACCTAATTGAAAACAGGAAGCGCTCACGCGGGACTGGCCGTTGCCCGAACCCGCCCCTCGCCCGGACCCCCGTGACGTCACGGGAGTTGAGCCGGCGCGCTCCTTCCCCCGCTGCCGCCGTGCCCTCCGCGCCCTCCGCCCTCTGTCCCCAAATGGAAATTTCAGACCTTTTTAACTGCGCTAAAGGAAAGGAGCGTTTGGCACCGTTTTACCCGCGTTAGTCCGCGGAGCCCCCGGCGTTCTGCGGCCGCGGACCAGCCCTTCCCGCCGCTCGCCCGGCCCCGGGCACACGCGTAGAGCCGAAGGCCGCATCACTGGGCCCGGGGGGTGCTCTCCCGCGGGCGGAAGCGAGCCTGGGCCGCGTCTCCGCAGCGGAATCCTCGGCGGCCGCACCGAAGCCCGGGTTCCTTACTCGGTTTCTCTCTCCCCTCCCTGCTGATTAAAGCTTGTAATTCTCATATATCCCACCACTTCTCACTTCCACGTCCGGAACCTCAACCGGGAGTTCTGCGTCTACTTCGCTCTTTCTCTTTGATTCTGGGACCGATATTATTCCGAAGAGAACTGGCAGCTTGTGGTAGCCGAAGGTTGAAGTACATAGGCGTTTTCGTAAGGTGGGGGTAGGGGTTCTGCCTGTACCTCGGAACATAGTTAAAAGTATTATTAGGAGGCCAAATTTGCCGAGGAGCAGAGTGGCGCAGCGGAAGCGTGCTGGGCCCATAACCCAGAGGTCGATGGATCGAAACCATCCTCTGCTAAGAGTTTTTGCTTCAGCACTTTAGTTAAAATTCTGTGGTTTAGTTTCACAACTAAGAAAAAAGGCTGTTTTGTCAAATTCTGAAGTTTCAATGGTTTCGTGAAAGTGTTTACAACTTCTAGACATAAACAGAACGTCAATAAAGGACACTCTATCTATAACTAATATGAGTTTCCACAATAAACCTCATTTCTAGTGGCTGCCAAAGTGACACTGCTAGTATTGCAACCAGTTATCATCTCACTGACGTATGAAAGCGGGTAAACGCTAAAATAAGCTGAATGTAGCAATGAGTTTTATTTCCTTTCACGCATAATTCAAAGAGCTGCTTGTTAGGTAGTTGTGGCCTTGTGGCTAAAGCCATAGACAAGAAATTTACTGGGCCATCCCAGCCCCAAACCTGTGCAGCCATGAGAGTCTTAATCTTCAGAGTAAATAAGTAACAGTTTGAGGCAAAATGCAAAGTCTTGGTGGCCACGATAGAACTCTGACCTGAGAAAACCACTTATGTGGTCGCTGCTGGTAATGTCTCTACCACCTACCTTCTTTACAATCTCTGATAGGACTGTTCTCTAGGCTCATTTTTAAAAGTGTATGTGTTACATATCTCTCAGAAAAGATCTCTATACAGATATTTATGTGTCAGATACTGCACTAAGCACTAAGAAAAGTATTTAAGTAGTCTATGGCCTAGTCATGCTTTTAAACAAGTATGTATAGCAATAAGATATTTTTCAAAGATTATTCACTAAAGCGCAGTGAGAATAAGGAAAAATGATTGTTTCTGGTAGCTCCATCATCGAGTAGTTGGATGATTTTCTAGGACTCACATGACTGAACATGAACATACAAAGATTCATTACAGCAAAGAGAAAAGTGCAGACACAGCAGGAAAAAGAGATATACAACCAAACACAAGAGAAGTCTTTTTTGTCCTCAATCTCCACCCATCTTCAGAGATGATACTCACTCTCTCTCCAGTTCTGAACTGCAGGGACTAGTGAAAGCTGTGGCTGCCAAACAAAGTCCACCTGAGCATTAGAGCCCAAGTTCTGAAAAGGAGCTAATCGGATACCTGACACATGATCAGCCATCCAGACACCAGATACGCATGGAAACTTGAATTTCCAAGTTTACTTTAAATATGCTGACAACCTACTTCATAGTGACCCACTGCTTCAGTACCCAAAATAACATCATTACCCAGTAACTAAGTGAACATTCCAGTATTTCAGTTCAGAGTTTGACAAAGGGTCATCACCATGGATAAAGAGATCTGTGAAAACTTAAACAAAATAGATTTGCTGCAAAAAAAAAAAAAAAAAAGATTTGCTGCATTACCTTTGCCCTGATAATGGCCCAATTTGGGAAAGGTGGCATATTTTGAGTCCAATCTAGAATGAGTAAGAGCTTGGCAGGTAGCCAAGAAGAGGCTACTAGATAGAAAAATAACAAATACAAGGAGGTATAACAGTTAAGGGTTTCTAGAGAACTACAAAACACTCAGTGTGATCAAACATGGAGGTGAGGCAGATTGTAGGAGGAGGATTTGGGGAGAAAAGTAAAGCAGCTGTATTCTGATCACCTCCCATTTACACTATAGGTGAAGGAGGGATCCTCCTCCCTAAACAATACCAGATTGCCTATTACACCACCCTCAACACTGGACAGATGAGACTGGTAGAGGTATACTCACAGCCTAGAAGAGGAGGCCACTGCAAGCTATGCAAGTTTGCTCAGGTTGCACTCCGGAATAGAGTGACCAGCAAGGACTGTGAGAGTTGAACTTTGGAGCAGAGAGAGGAAAGTGTGACCCCTAGTTCTCTCCAAAAAAAAAGATGGAATTGGCTTATTTTAATAGCTTCCAGGACTGACAGGTGAAACCCATTAGGTTGAAGGGCTGGAATGTACCTCGTCTGGTTGATAGGGGAATTGGCCAAGTACGGGGCATATCCTGTGAGAACAGGTGAATTCACAGGACTTCTTGGGGCCCTGTAAGGTTCAGAGATGCCAAAGGAGCCCTTGAAATTTTAGATCTTACAATATAATCCTGAGTTGTGGCAGAAGAGATAGGGAAAGTGCCAGTCGTAAGAAAGTGAGTGTGCAGTACAAACAGGTTTTGATTTTATTTGTCTAGGGGCAGTAAGAAACCATCACTAATTTTGATCAAAGGAGTAATATGAGTAACATTTTCTCATCAGAAAAAAATCTCTGGAGTTTTCAAGTTTGTGATCTGGTCTTTGTGTTTTTGGGGGTTTTTTATCATAAACTATACAACAATGTCTTTTATAATGTATAGGGTTTTTGAAAATTATTTCTTCAACCTCTCCATATACAGGCAAAAATAAGTGTACTGTCTAACATATTGGAACTTGCAAACTTGATCATTGCCAAGAGAAAAGAAAATTATCCCTAAAGTATGCTAAACAAGGAGGCCAATTCATCTTCTCCCCTCCAAAAACATCCAAATGAACATGATAGATGGATTGACCCCCATCCCAACCTTCACTGTCCACCATTCCGTAACCAGGCCCATATCAGCAGCACATTTCTTGTCAACAATTATTAACTGTCCGAGGCTTTCATCATTATCTTCTACTACAGATATCTAGGATAGCTTTTTCTTAGATATCATCAGAAAATATGTTGATGCATGTCATGGATACCAACACACCAGTCATCCTCAAAAATTCTTTTGGTTGGATATCCTTGCCAGTAATCTTCCTGAAGACAGTGTCTCCACCAGGCCAGTGCCTGAGACCACTCTTCTTCTCCAAACAGATAGATACCCTGGGGAAAGTGTAATATTACAATCGGAGAAAAGTCCCAGAGGAGAACAAGAAGGGCAAATGGTGATGCCCAGGGACCCTGCAGGTGTCCAGGAGGGAAAGCGAGAAAGACAACCGTACAGATGCTAAGGCTTTCTTTGGCTGTGGTTTGCATGATAACTGTCCAGAAGGACCTTCCAAGTACCCAGAGTCTGAAAATACTGACTGTGGCTGAGTATGTATAAGGAAGCAGCTCTGAGTTAGTTTATTAAAAAATATATATGTCCTTGGAAGCAGACATATGAATGAAGTATCTTGGCATCTCTCAGGTGCCAGAAAGTTTTTTTGCTCGGGCGTGGTCAGGCGGGTACCCCAGACCGAAATAATGGTCAGTGCCTACCTTCCCGAGTTCCAACTCCGCTGCCCCAAAGAAGCCAAATAACGTCATCTCGAGCCCATATTTTCAAGGACAAGGAGGCCAGGGCGCTGTTGGACGACTGCTGACCGGCCAGAAAGCTCATTGAACGTACTAAGAGCCACGGCTGCCCCACAAGCTCAAAGACCACGTGGCCTAACGGATAAGGCGTCTGACTTCGGATCAGAAGATTGAGGGTTCGAATCCCTTCGTGGTTAGCATAAGTCTTTATGCGTTGCCCCAGATACGCCTTTTTTTTTTTTTTTTTTTTTTACCTGTTCTGTTTTCCACACCCGTGTCTTTTCTCCTACTTTTTTTTTTTTTTTTTTTTTTTTTTTTTCCTTCTCAAAGGCCTGAGAAGGACCAGGGTCAGGACCGAAGACACGTTGAGAGTCCAAACTGGAACAAGCCCGTCCAGTAATCCGGATTTTTGAGCTCACAGTTCCAGGGCTGCTCGCGGCTGTGAAGCGGCGCCTCCCCAAGGAGGACTGAGGGTCAGCAGCTCGCCGGGTGCCCTCGGGAGGCCGGGGGCTCCCGGAGTCCGGGTCACTGGCTTTCACTCTTACCCTCATCTTCCTTCCCCCTTCCCTTCCTTCTTGTCTTTGCTCTTGCTGCCATCAAAAGGACGAGAAGAGCCTAGATTCCGACCTACATTCCAGAACAGGTGCAAGGTGCAGTAAGGCCACGCAAAGAGCCCAGGGGCCGACAGAGGGTGTAGGCAAGCAGGGCACCGAGAAGACAGCTGTGCGAAATGCACAAAAACAAATTTTTGTGCCTAAATACTTGAACTTAATAATTCAGGATAAAGAAAAAGTTAGCAATTCTTGGCTTCATGGTGAAACAGTTCACTCAAATCAAGTGGAGGATACAAGTGCTTTTGCTAGGTCAAAGCAATGAATGTTACAAGGTAATAATTACCTCTTCCTCTCCCCAGCCTCTTTTTTTAGATCTCTTCTATGACTCTGGTTTTCCCTAATCAGCTAT